GTGCCAAAATATTCATGTGGTATTCATGATTCAAAAGTGGCGTGGAAATGATAACTAATGCACCTAGACTTGGACTCCAAATTTCTGTTTGTCTTGATGAACTCATTGCAAAGTTTAGAGAAGGCATACAAAAAGATCATTGTTTTACTGTGAGGATGATGGCAGATGAATCTGGTGTTAATAGAGAGACCATTCCTAACATTTTAGTGCATGATTTTGGCCCCCAAAAAAGTTGCTTGCCTGTTTGTACCACATTCATTGTCTGATGACCAAAAACATCAGCGGGTTGAGTACCCAAGAGAAATCATAAAACAAGAATTTTTGGCCCAAAAACAAGTGTGTGTTCTCAGCCTTCCACCCTATTCCCCAAATTAAAGTTACAATTAAAAGGACGCTTCTTTAACGATATGATGACATCCAAAGGGCCGTAACATCGACTTTAAGGGCCATAACAACAAAAGAACTACAGAGGTCGTTCCAATGTTTGTTAGATCGTGCCACTTGCTGTATTAATGCACAAGGGACTTACTTTGAATCAGATACAGGTTATATCTTCAACTGTTGGTTATTTTAATTTTTATGGAATTAGTCTCATTACTTAATTGTCGGACCTTGTATATATATATATATATATATATATATATATATATATATATATATATATATATATACACATATATATATATATATATATATATATATATATATATATATATGTATGTATATATATTGCAATTCACAAATGAAGTAACTTAAATGTGTCACTGGTCGTCAAACCAGTTCAACCCTTGCACTGATGTTTAAAGCCTGCAAACCATGGGCTTCATCAAAGATCTCTTTTCGCTACTGACTTCAGTTCTGAAAAGCTTTTTTCTTCTTTTGCATTCACCTTTAGAAGACTAGTTGGCACACTGTGTTGTGGTTTACCAACATTACAAATAAAGTATTAGAATCAATATGGAAAACATTTCATCAGTTATTAATATATAGTCACAATGATAATTGTCAGAAGTCACCTTTTTTCTAACCCTATCTGTTCTTCCTGTTACCAATCTCCCCATGTTTCATGCTTATATTACATGAGTTAGTATGTATGGTGGAGAAAGAGTATGTTATCACTGCTGAAGTTTTGCCTTGTGTAACTGCAACATCAAATAAACATTGGTTTTCAACAAAATTCTTTGCTGTGACTTTTATTGTAGCTTTAACTTATTTCATTCTTAACAAAAGTTGTTTAGGTTTAAAAAAAAAAGGGTTTTTTATCCCAGTAGTGTAGCAGGTATATGATGCTAGACTGATATATTTAAAGACCTGTTATGAGTTAGAATATCTTCACATCACTCCGGACACATCCATAGGCGCTCAAATTCGCCACTCAACATATTCATCAGCATTGTGCGGTTAATAGTGCCAGTCCTATGTTGATTAACAAGACTTTGTGTGCGTCGGGCGTGCTTCTCATGTTGGCTGTGCTGATCTTTAGTCCTAATTCTCATATTCTTAGCAGTGATGTGGACACGTTGCATAAGGATCAATTGGTATTCAGTGGGGGATTGGTAAAACATGCTGGCCACTTTTACTTTCAGTCAGTCTCCAGTAGGTCCTTCAGAGAACATCAGTCTCTTCATAGCATCTCAAAGTCTCTCTCTCTAGCCAAGTCTCCAGCCCTATGTGCTTTCATAGCCAATGCATCTTTAATGTCCTGTATCCACAACTGCGGAAGTTGGCCTCTGCTTTGTTTTCCGAAAACTGCACCATCTATTACTATTCTATTTAGACCACCGTGGCGATTAATATGACCAAAATACCTCAGCTTGAAGAGGATAGGATAAGCAGACACCTTTGTGATGCAATCTGTTGTTAGCAATAACATAACAGAGCCAGGTACTAGCCTACATCAGCAATCTAAACTAGACTGCTGAAGGCTGAAGTGCTCAGCCATGTGGATGTGGGAAAACAAGGGGAGACTACCACCTTACTTTGGCTTACCCATATTAAGTTGAGCAATATCAATGTTAGCTTCACCAAGATCAATTATTTAACAAATCTGCAGTCAGTATAAATTTGAACCCAAGACTCTTGGGCTTGTGTCCAGCATCTTTCATTATAAAAGAAGAAAGAAAAAAAATAATAATTCACAGCTTAAAGTTTCAGTAGATGAAGTGTACATTTCCCAGCAGTAACTGAATTTAATCCCTGTGGGACGCAATTTATTTTTGGTTTGTTTTGGAGCCCCACTCTGGCTGTCGTTGGAGGCCCTAAATAAAAGCTACTGGTTGAAGGAGGTTTCTAGGACTCTCATCTGAATAGCTGCACTTTGTGTCACCTGCTGAATGTTACTCTTGCAGTCCTGGTGGTGTTGAAAGTCAGTTTTTCAGTTTCAGTAACATACTAAACACATGTTTTCGCTAGCAACACGCAGTAAGAACTTGTTTTTATAGTAGACAGCATGTCAAGTCTGCAGTCTTCTGGGAGCTGCCACAGTGTAAGACTAGACTAAGCCAGAGCAGAGTTCCAGTACTAATGGTACAAGTGGTAATCTGGTTATATGTCCATCTATGCCCTTTTCTCTGAGTGTAATGAGCCGGCCAGACCCTCTGGTTACACTTAGGTGCATCATTATCTTCAGACCATAATAATCTAGTTTGTCTTCTTACTTTGTTACTTATTCCAAAAGGGCCGTGACCACATCTGCTTAGTCATGTATCAATTCACCACCCAGTGATGCAGAACCAGCCAATCTGTCTGCCGGTTCACCCCCCCCCCCCCCCACGGTTTGGAGAAAAGATCCAAAGCATACTCACTACCTGTGACCTTCCCAGGAAAGCTTGCCACTCGAAGCATCCTCGTCTTCACTTTTCTCAGCATGCTTTCAGAGTCTGTTTCAGCTACGACATGCGTATGCATTTTGTTTTCTAGCCAGTGCTGTGACCACCTCCACTCTCATGCTAGATGTTGTGGTATCATATGTTAGACTGTCCTGCACTAAAGATTTTAGATTGGCTTTCACTGCGAAACCCCATGCACTTCTCTTCCCTCTCAACACAGAGCCATCTGTATAGATAATCTAGGTGTGAATTGTTGTGAATCAAATGTTGGACTTCCACCTCTGTAGCACCCACTGGCCACTGTCTGCATGCCCGTCACGTCCCAATGTGATCATGACCTTACACAGGTCAGACTTTTCCACTGGTATTCTGACCCACACTCCTCTCCTCGCTCAGTATTCTTCAGCATGCACACTTCTTATTGTGTCTTCTGCTTAAGCCATCTACAATTTTCCCCTTTTCAGCCTCTGACTCTTAACTGCATCAAAAGCTTCATACAGAGGGTGTTCTTTGCAGTCTCTTGATGTGGGTAATAAAATCACTTCAAGTTAGGTAAATAAATAACCCTTTTCAAGCACTGACGTCATATTTTTGTTGACTAATCAGTTCATTATTGTGTCAAAAAATCACTACACTTTTTATTTAACAAACAGATTAGCCAGTCCACAAAGGAAAAAAAGAAACATTTTCAGTGCTGTTGAAATTTTAAATTCAAAATTTACTAGAAAACAACAACAAACACTTAGTAATGATTATATGTTTACAAACCATCTGTTTGGGCTAGTATACATGCAGTGAAACACTAATACAAATGAATTATCCGAAAACAAATACTAAGATTAAACGGTGACTATATAATGGGTTCTTACTGGCCCATTTCCATGCCTTGAGGCATTTGGTGCTAAACCCATATTACATATACCGAATAGGTGATGTATCTTGCTGGTCACCTGTACTTCCCAGAACATTTTCTTAAGTCCTTATTAGGCAGGACCGTACCAACCTGGGAGTCCAGGGTAACTTTCACAAACCTGCCTCAACAGGGATTCACACCCATGGTCATCTAGCCACAATGTTACAGTGGCTCCTGATGTGCTCTTCAACTGATTGGGTTGCTACCTGAAAGTTGACCACCCTGGGATACACAAAATATGAACCTGTATGGCAGACCAACATGGCAGATCCCAGATACTCCATTCAAGCTCCAAAGAGGTTATAATTAGGGCCCACATGTAATGGCTACCCAAGCATGTGTTTTTATTTTTCTGCCCTTCATTCCCCAATTTAGCGTAGGCTCTCAACCAACTTACACCAAGATGTTACTTTTCTTTGTTATCGCATGCAGCCCACCCCATCTTTTTTTAACTTCAATCTCTGGCTCTCTTCTCTGTGTGTTTTTTGGCCTACATTTATTGCTGTTTCCTACTATGCTGCTGTGGCTCCCAATGTGTTCTGTGTAAAAGTATTCACATTTGTCAAGGCGAGATCACAACGGCTGGAAAACCATCTATATCACAAGACTTGTTTATCCCATCTCTTTGTGGGTGGCAATGAACCAATGCAACGATTGCCAGGTACATGACCTTCCTCATATTATAGTTAAAGGAAACAGACCTCGAGCATTTATTGGTTGTCTGTTGGGCATTTCTGTCTACCAGAGCCATTAATGTAAAGGCTAGGGAGCAGACAATGAGCTGTGGAAGAACTAAATTATTTACAGTGAGGACTCATAAAATACTGAAATAAATTATTTATACTACCTCCTCACAAAATCTGACAATCAAACAAGCAGCAGGTAGAAGAACAAGGTTATTTAAATTACAGCTTTCTAAAATATGAATATCAAACAAGGCAGAAGTAGAAAAACTAAATTTCTTACATTGCCATTTCCAAAACTGAGACTATCAAACGAGGAGGTCGAAGAACTTAAGCTTACTGCAGCCTCCTAAATTTCATTATCAAACAAGGAAGAGGTAGGATAACACAATTATTTATGTCAAATGCCTCCAAAATGTTGACTATCAAACTCCAGGTAGAAGAACACAATTAGACCACACACTCCTAAAAATGTGACTATTAAATTTAAATGGTCCTTAAATTTTCAGATTTTAGCCAAAGAGTTTCGCCTTTACAATTTTCTAATTGAACATATATACTGTGAGCTGCACTCATTCATTCCTTTCTCTTTCTTCTGTGATCGTCCTTACTCCTAGACCTGTCTCTCCTGTGGCTGCTGTTCTTATGCGCTCTCTTGTCCCGGTGTCTGTCAGATGAATGTGAACTGCTGCCATCTGAATCAGCTGCCTCCTGTGCTCTCCCCTTCCTGTCACTGCGTCCAGTTTTCTTTGGTCTGTAGTCAGTGTCAAGTGAAAGTGACCGCCTGCGTTCAGTGTGTGATGATGATGGCCTTCTGTGATCTTCCCTATGTCTGTGTGAGGTGGATGCTTTTCTTCCGCTGTCTTCATCTGTAAGCAACAACAAAAATACATTCTAAAACATGGTGTCAAAAATAGCTTTTTTTCCCCACATGCAAACACCATTTAGGATGTGTTGTTACCCCATAATGTAATTTAATTGTGTTTAAACAAAATACAGCTGTCTAAAAGACAACAAGAATATCGCAGCCAGAAAACCTTAATCAGCATATAACAGACAACAATGTTACAAGAGACAAAAAAAAAAAAAAAAAACATGAAGCGATTCAGTTGTTTAAGGGCTGAAATGAAGGTGTGGTTGGACCAATTAATTTGTCACCATTCAACCCTGCACTCCCCATCAGCCCATATTGTAGGTGACCACACCAAGGGTATCTTAGAACTAATTCTGCCATAGGGACCGTTTCCTTGATAAGTGATTTACAAGTATGGGAAGCTTATCCCCTGATATCCCCCCAGCTATGGAAAATATTCCAAGGGACAATCTCTACAGGCAACTACCAAACATAAAACTGAATGTCCATGGTTTATCTTCTTCTTCTGTGTTTGCCCTTAAAATGACAACTGGCACATTGTGTTGAGGTTTACAGAAAAGCTATGATGTCTGCACCGTTCAGCCCAACACATCCATTCTCGGTAACATTGTAATTAGTTGCCTTGTACAACATGCTTGCCAGATGGGGGAGAAGGGGGGGGGGGGGGGGGTGATTGGTGGGTTCCACCCCCACACCCCAAAATAGGACCCCAGAACCCTGACATGGATGGCTATTTTACAAGACATGAAAATATGAGGGTTAGCCACATCAAACTTTGGACAGGAAGACCCTGACTTCAACACAATGAGATGTGCTGTATGGAATGAACTTGAAATCTAGGGAACAAAACTATCAAGCAGAGAAGACAACAAGTTGCTAAAGAAAATGTCTGGCTTTGCAGTTGGCAGCTTTCTGCTCATAGATTCGATCAACCCATGGTCAGATGTGACTGAAATAGGCTATCACTACCATGTGTAATCACACTGAAGGAGGCTATCACTACCACGTGTAATCACTATCTCACATGTAATCAATATCAAATGTAATCACTATTACACATGTAATCACTATCACACATGTAATCACTATCACACATGTAATCACTATCACACATGTAATCACTATCACACATGTAATCACTATCACACATGTAATCACTATCACACATGTAATCACTATCACACATGTAATCAATATCAAATGTAATCACTAGCACATGTAAATAAACAGGCAAAGTCAAGCACTCTCATGTGGTTTTCTTCTTCTCTAGTCCTGTGCAGCCTTTCTGTGTCAGATTTTGAAGAGGCCTTGGGTTCAGGCCTTGGTATGTGCTACATACATGCTGGTATTCATGCTGGGATACCATGTTTACAGGTTTTTAAAAATGCAGATCCTTAAAAATGCCTAGATTATAGTTTCTCATTTGGTAGTCAGTCCACAAAAGAAAATTCAGGAATCTGTGATATCATTAATAAAGAAACAAAACAGCAACAACAGAAAACCCTTTGACTTTAGAATGCAATCATTTCTAAGTTTATAAATTTTATTAAGTTCAACAGTCTGACTAAGTAAGACAAAGTAGAGGCTCTGAGAGAAACCTTCAAAACAAACAAACAAATCAGGAGCCTACAGGTGTTGGCTAATTTAGAACCATTAGTTTAGATCTGCCAACATAAATTTGACATGTAATCATTCATACCGTCTGATTGTGCTGGTGATCTCTGACGTTCCTGAGAGCTCTTTGCCTTTTGGGGCTGGTCATCTTCACTTTCTGGAGACAAGATGAAACAGATATCATAACAGTCGACTACAGTGTAAGTTGTTTATATGATCACTAACTATGATCGCCAGGAAACACATTTTCTATTTATCTACCTCATTATATGCTCACTACCACTGATCATTGGCATCATGAGTTCTAATAGACTGAAATGGCTGTGGCACATTGAAAGAATGTCAGATGACAGAGAAGTGAAAACTGTATACACAAGGGAGATGGATGGTTGTGGACCAAGAAGAATATGGAGAGATAATGTCCAGACAGACCTGCAAACACTTGATGTCACCAACTGGAAAAAGAAGGCCAACCAGAGAGATAAATAGAGGCGGATGATATCTGCAGCAATGAACCTCAAAGGCTCGGAATGCTGAAGAAGAATATATGCTCACTGTATGAAAAGAATTGAAGAATAAGAACGCACCCTTGCCTGGTACACTAAGCTACGCTACACAATAAAATGTTCCGAAATGGTTGTCAATTCCTAACAGCTTTTAGTCACTCCCCATTGTATCATTCTTTCCCTACTGATGATCTGTTCGCCTATCCACATTCTACAATTCCTGCTTCTGCCCTGTCACACATCCATTCTTCATCAAGTGGTGCAAAGCCATCTAATTTCTCTACCTGCTCATTTCCCAGCACAATTGTATGCCCTTAAAAAAGATCTAAACTCAATACCAACATCTTCTTCTTAGCATTCATCGGCTGTAAACTCCAGTGGAAAGATCTAGTTGTTCATCCACTTAAGGCCTGTGGTATTGTTCCAGAACTTAGGTTACGTGTTCAAAAACAATTTTTTAAGCTGTTTTTACTGTGCTCTGTATGCTCTGTGATTGTTATAACAGGAACTTAGGAATAGGAACTTGGTGCCTGCTGCTGAAGGTGGGGTCATAGCATATATGGGAATGTCCTAGGAGCTGTGATGTCGATCCTTACCAAACTCAATAATGTTTCCCAGAGCTACACACTGTAACCAACATGAGACTGTCAGTCACAAAATGTCTCCTTAAGTGTAATATATCAACACAATCATCACTGTAGGTATGTGTGGCTTAGAGGTTTTCGGACAGTCATATGACAGTCGCACCACAGATGAGCCTTGAATCTCACAAAATAATATTTGCAAAGACATCAGTGGGTCAGTATAACCAACCTTCACTGTGAAGACGTGACAAAAAATTTTCATTTTTATTACTGCACACCTTATCTTGAGACCTCATGAGTATTTTCTTACCTACAGAAATAAGACCACAAGAACATTTTATCTCTTCAAAACAAACAAAAACTGAAACACACACAGTGAAAGTTAGATCCTAGTACTCGAGCTACACAAAAATGATGACCAGATTCAAGAAGCCAGCAAAACTTTTTCATTAAAATATTCAAACCTGATGAATCACTGCTCTTATGCTTTTTGGACTTCTTTGACTTGTGTTTTTTGCTCACACCTTTTGCAGATTTGGCTTGCAACTTGTTCAGCTTCCTGGAATATAGTTGTAACTATGATTTTGAGATTGGTACATGACACAATTCAAGTCTAGAAATTAACATAATTTTTCAGGTTCACAGCTGAATACAATATTTAAAGTTCAGACCTAGTAAAAATATTATTAGTCAGAACTGAATAATCTATTATAATTAATAGTCTAGAACAACATAATTTTCAAAAATAATGTAAGTAGCAAGCAGAAAATTACTTAATCTGTAATTTAATCAAATGACTAATGAATCGGTTCAAGTGGAGGTGCAATCTCAGTTTAATTTAGCCTTTAAATAATAATGATAATTTATTCTAATAGTATAAACAGGTAAAATTAAGTATGTGACAAAATAATGAACTATCATCAAGTGTCTTGCTGATCAGTATGGCGATCATGCCTCCCCACAACCTATGATACCCAAAAGCAGGTATCTGTTCGTGTGTTGAATCCTGCTATGCCATGATAAAAGGCTGTCAAGAATCCCTTTGCACTGTTCCAACTCAACCACTCTTTCACAACAGGCTCCAGTTTCTTTTCATAAAATAGCTCTTTCTGATGTTTGTGACCGGCGTCTTTGAGGCTTTGCCTCTTTCAAAACACTTGAATAACTCATTTTGTCAGCTGAAGAAAGAGTTGTGAGATGAGAATACCTGATACTTGATGAGAATACCTGATACTTGATAAGAATACCTGATACTTGATGAGAATACCTGATACTTGATGAGAATACCTGATACTTGTAAAGTTACCTTTTCCACACCATTAAGTGTATTTAGTATATAGCGCTAGACTTATATTTTACAGACCAATTGGCACTTAGTGGGTAATGTTGTCCACATAAAGCAGGCCACCTTTACTTCCCAGGACTTAACCTGGTGCCCATTTTAGGCTAGGCTAGGCTGGCATTGGAGCTAGGGTCATTTTTTTAAAAATCCCACAGAAATTGGAAACATGGTTTTTTAAATCGTTCCTTTGCGTTTACAGCGTTTACATCCTCTTTTAGTATGGGTGTTAGGGGCATACCCCCAAAGCCCTGCTTAACCTTTTACAAATGATATGCTGGAATATCCTACTCTTCATACCAGCTGTCCTGTGTGGGTGCTTCCTGCATCAAGATCTAGTAGGAAAATGTGTGACTGAGAGGTTCCAGTAATTGTCTCAAGCTCAAAAGTTACTGGGTGTGACTTCCAACATAAGGTTTAGAATTTTTACAAGAAAAATTGGATTTTTAATGACATCACATGTCTTTGAGGTCTCTTAGGCAGTCATGTCAAGACAGATGAACAATAAAAACTGGAGGTTGTAGGTCTTAACAATCACACAAAGATTTAGACCACAGCTGCTTCCTTTTCTTTTCCGCGGTAGCCATGAAAAGAGCACTTGGCATGTTTTATGATTTACAGCTAACCTGTGATTTCCATGCTTTTTGACCCAACACATCTGATTTCAGCAAATCCATAATCACACCTTTTAAGACTTGATTATTAGGGTGGACCCCAGACACACTGAAATGTATAACTAGGTTTGACTTATGTAACTAAAAATATCTGTTGTAACTGCTTACTTTAGAAGTTTCTTCTTCTGTTTAGGAGTCAGGGATTTTAGAAATTTCACTTCCGGATCATCCTCATCTTCTTGTGCTAAAATTTTGTGCTGTTTGGAATAAGAAGTGTGCAACAATGAACATCAGAAAGAAAAACATGAAACGGTGATTGCCCATACTGACAAAGACTAATACAATAACCACAAGGCTATCTTCCGAAAAATAGTCCCAAATTATCGAGGCCGAAAATATACCCTAACAGGGCCTCAGTCACGTGTCAATTGCGGACTTCCGGTGACTATACCGCCACCGCCTGGAGTAACCCCCACGCAGCATGGATTGGGACTATAAACTAGATGGCTAGGACTCACGAGCAAATAAAATGCAGGAGATGAGGTAGTTGCTGCTTGTAAGTTCCAGCCATTTAGTTTTTATATATATATATATATATAATACACACACACACAAATAACATTAACTGAAGGTAATTAAAAACCCAATACACAAGTGGGAATTCCCAAACACTTAAACTTCCATATCTCAAAGACTAGTTTTATCATCAAGTGCTCACTTGTTTATAAACAAAATGTGGGTCTGGCACCATATGCCTAATGGGCGGGTGGTCTGAGAAGGATCATTGTAAACTTAAGTTTTGAACTGTTTTACAGATGTGTGCATAAGAATGCATATTTTATTTGCTGCTAATTCACAGAAGAAAGATCAGCTCAATTCAACAGTATCAACAGTTCTGCTAGAGTAGTGGTCTCTAATCCTTTTTTTTTAGGTCGCACCCCCTTAAGTATATGGTAGGGAACACACCCCCCCCCCCCCCATAACAAAATATGATTAAAAAGAAGACAACAGATTCAACAACAAGTGAAACAGAAAGTATGGTGATACAATTTGGCCAGAATTAAATGTGTGTGTTATATTAATTCAGTTTTTAAAACTACTTACTTGCTTTTAAAAGTTTCCACCACTTTTCCTAAGAGTGTTATGGTTTTTTTTTTATATGGCCAAAATATTTTCCTTGCATTATTTCTTTTTCTTTCAGCAACTTTCTTTTCATTCATGGTCTCTTCGGGGCCTCTTTTTTTCCTTCATCTATCACTTCAAGAGACATGACCTATTCTTTACTTAAGACAATTTCAAAATCAATGTATCAGATTTAGAAATTAAAGCTCAAAGCATACCATAGAATCTACAATCAAACGACCTCTTTATAAAATGATTTATTCCTTCATCCATATCTAATATTCCTTCCATTCTGCCCCCCCCCCCCCTCCAGACCACTTCCGGAAGATAGGATTATCTTGTAAGTGAAGGAAAGGACCCTATTTCACACCTGGTCATCCCTGCAGCCCTTCTCAGACATCTAATTTTCTTGTTGTTATATAGCACAATGAAATAAATAAGTTATGAAACAAAATTGTGACTTTCATGCAAACAAACGCTCGCTTGGTGTTCTTGGGCCTGAGTCAAACCGAGTATGACTTTTTTCAAATGACCTTTGCTCCCAGGTCGACTCAGCCAGGTACAAAGTTATGTCACGGAAAGTAAAGACAGCCTGAGTGATGCTGACCACCAACTTTATCTCACACGCAAACAAACTGAGACTAACCTGCTCCGCCGGCTGCAGCTCCATCATTCGGCTGAGTACACTGTTCTTTATGGCAAACCCGCCTTCTTTTAAACCATCCAGTGCGGAGAAGCTGCTGGATGCCGCTAGATTTTTTAACAAATACGAGGAGTAGTCAATAAGTAAGTCACAAATGGTTATGGGTTGGCAGGAAAATGTAGTTGGCAGTTTCTAAAGGGGTCATTATGTAAAGAATGTTATCAAGGACGCTCTACGGTTGTTGATGAAGTTCGATCTGGTTGTCCTGTTGGGATTGCAACAAAAGCATCCATGCAGCAGGTGATGGAGATGATCAGAGGTGACAGGCAAGTAAGGGTTGACTCTGTAGCAGCTTAGCCTCACCCTTTTGCCGGGGTCCTTAACTATAGCCAGGTCTTAAATATGGCCTACGGCTGAACAGGTTTACAGGACTTCTCCACGTGTGATCCTCATCTGCACAGTGGCACGCTGTGTCACTGGGTGTTTATCGCGTGTGTGATGTTCTGGTGGGTTACAAATTACCTAACTACCTACTAGTTTCCTAATGTGCCAAAGGCAGGAAAAAGTTTTCTACCTTTTTTAGCTTACTCTTAAACTGGCTGACATACTGGAATCTGCAGAAGTCACCGTGAAACGCAATTGTGTATTTTAATTTGTATCTCATAAACAGATGTTATTTCAGAGAATTTCACAAGACAGACACCTGTAGAATGAAATGACCATGAATCTTCACAACAAGTCCAAGGAATGAAGAATTCAACAATGAAGACATAAAACTATAGACTGCACAATTTATTGCCTGGCATATTTTGCAGTATCTCACCAGGTGCTTCCTACAGTAACATATAAATCAAATAAATAATCCTTTACAACTGAAATATAAACTCTATTGTTTGTCTTCTGTAATCAGATCTATGATAGGGAAACTGCTCTGAGTTTCTGACATGATGCTAAAACTACAAAGGATGAACAATTCATGACAAACACAAAAGTACTTACGCAGCTCTGGTTCTGCTGTCAGATTTTTGCCAAACAAGGGGCAAATTTTATCTGTGTTGACATGGCCCCACTGGCGACATTTGATACACCGAACATTTCTGACCTCAATACCAAATGGCTGATCCCTGATAGTCTCATCATCCTTTGCATATCTGTTACAGATGTATTGAACAGATTGTTACAAAATAAGTAGCCAATGACCAAATCTACTTTACATCTGTACTTACCATAACAGAGGACACATTTCATACCTTTAGTGCATAAGGCATATGGTGTTAGACAATCTGCACTATTTTTTTTTCAAGTTCTGGTCATGGGCTTAATCCACAGTGGGCCATAAACTGAGATGTCCTTTTAAGGTCTCTTAGGCTTCACCGAAGCTTAGCTGTAAGGTTTACTGGGTGTGACCAAATGCTTCGCAGCTCCTCCAGGGGAAGACAGTCTTGCAAGATATTTCTGGGGTTTGTTCAGCATGAAGTCCCCGGCAGAGAGCTGTTTTGGCTCATAACTAATTTACATCAGAGTTTGCTGAGACTGCAGTGTCCAGTGCGTAAGTGAATCAGCACTCAAGGGGCAACGAAGTCAACATTACAAAAGGTTCTTTTACACAACAGTGGCGCACTGGGCAAATTAGGCTAGACTATAGGTTTTATAGACCAAACGTTAATAATTCTGGAATATTATGGTCAGCCATAGGCTTTTGGTAGCAGCCTACATTATATTAGTTTTGACAACAGTAAGGGGTGTCATATTGTTCAGAAAGCAAAGACAAACTACAGAACGTAAGACAACCCAGTAAAATCACAAACAGTTTATCGTTATAATGCAGGGTTTGGTTTATGACGTCCCATAAAGAACGTAAGACTACCCAGTAAAATCACAAACAGTTTATCGTTATAATGCAGGGTTTGGTTTATGACGTCCCATAAAGAACGTAAGACTACCCAGTAAAATCACAAACAGTTTATCGTTATAATGCAGGGTTTGGTTTATGACGTCCCATAAAGTACGTAAGACAACCCAGTAAAATCACAAACAGTTTATCGTTATAATGCAGGGTTTGGTTTATGACGTCCCATAAAGTACGTAAGACAACCCAGTAAAATCACAAACAGTTTATCGTTATAATGCAGGGTTTGGTTTATGACGTCCCATAAAGGAAAAGCAACTAATGTTTATTTTTATTATGTGCAAGCCAAGCTCCTAGTGAATCAACAGTATAATTCATTTGGGGGTATTATATACAAGACTTTCAGGTAGAAATCAAATATTTAAGCCAATAATACATCAATTCTCTGAGGAAAAAAATGAGAATATGCTTATTGTTCTTGAATTTGAAGAAAACAAAAATAATGTCCACAGATAAAACTGGCTGTCACCCAAAAATAACAATAAATGATGAAGAAATTGAAAATGACACAAACTTTGAATATCTAGGCTCTATAATAAACAGCAATGTAGACTGCTCAACAGAAATTAAAAGGAGGATGGCCTTGGCATTGCAAAGATTGAACAGCCTTAAAAGTCTATGGTTAAGCACCAGCAAGGAGATAAAAATTAGAATTTTGAGAGCATGCATCTTCCCTGTGGCTACATACGGATGTGAGTCGTGGACTATCTTTCAGTCCTTAAGAAAGAGAATAGGGGCTTTTGAGCTGATATGCTATAGAAAGATTCTCAGAATATCTTGGATAAAGAAGATGAGAAATACTGACATCTTAAAAGATCTGAACATCAAGGAAGATTGGCTAATAAACAGCATCCTTTCTCGAAAGCTGAAATATTTTGAAATAATTTCAAGCGCCACAACGGACTGAACAAAACTATAGCAGAAGGCATGGTACCAGGAAGGAGGGGTAGGGGCCTACCGACACAAAGATGGGCACAGGATATAAGTGACTCCTTGAGTATGAAAGTACATGAGGGAGGAGAACTGGCGAGAGACCGAGTTTCTCTCAGGCAGTCTGTGATGAGAGCGACGTTCTACAAACGACCTGCTACATGATGATGATGATGATACTTGTACTCACGCTTCTCTTGGAGCATTGTATTTCCTCTGCCACTCAAACTTCACTTCCTGTTCAGGCACCTCCTGAAAGTATATTTCAAACTACAGGTCACAAAAGGCAGGAAAATCATCATCCATATTTTTTGTTTGGCACAAACTTTGTCTAATTTGTATGTCTGGTTGTCTGACAATATTTCTTTCCTTTTTTTTTTTAAAGGAGAAGTTATTGTTTCTATTAATAACCTTACATACAAACCAACAAAGTTGGCACATTATCTTCATATTTTCAAAAATATATACTCGCTTGAAGATTAGTGGGTATTTTTGTATTACTGCACGAGGATTAGTGAGTATTTTATCATGATTTAGGGAGTCGTCGTGGCAGAGCGGCTAGGCGCGCCCAGCAGATCGGAAGGTCATCGGTTTGCTCCCTGGTCGACACAGCCTTGAGTGGGTACCGGGTGCAGTCAGCATCCGGCGTGATGCTGACCACATCGTCCATTTTGTGCTGTTGGTCTATAAATTATAGGTCTAGCCCTATATGCCTAAAGGTATAGTAAAGGGTCCTTTACTTTTTTTTTTATATAATGATTCAAGTCATCAAAACAGATTACTAGGTACTGTTCAATCATGCATCTGCTAACAACCATGACACAGATAAATAGTGGAATATGTACTAAAAGACTGAAAAATATAACACATATTATAGCCAACAATTTAGTTTTTTTTTTTTAAACGACAATGAAATCTAAACACTCCATGGACCATAGAGTGGATGAAAAACACAAGTGAAATTTACACCAAAAAAATACAGCAGAGCCTTGCATATGATACCACAATATCCAGCTTAAGAATGGAGGTGGAGGCGGTCACTGCAGCTTTCCGCTGGCTAGAGAACACGACACACACACATTGTAATTGTAACTGATTCAGAAAGCATGCTGAGGAAGATCAGAACAGGTATGCTTCGTGCAGAGTGACATGCTTCGCTGCGGAGGACACGAGTGAGGAGTATTGTCTGGATTTTTTCACCGGGTCACGCCGGTGTGTTGGGAAATGAACAGGCAGGCAGACTGGCTGGCTCTGCACAACTTGGTGGAATACTGCTACATGAGAGGGCAAACGTGGTTAGTGCCTTGTGGGAGAGCGTGTACAATGCGGAGGAGCAGATGGATCACCACAGTTTGGTGAGATTGATGCAGTTGGGGGTGACGAGAGGTTCTGGCAGAAGCTCAAGGCTCAGAGGAAAGGCAAGACGGACATTTAATCAGAAAGCTACTGGCACCATTAGTATCGGAACTCTTCACTGGCTGCTGAAGATGGAGACAGAGCGCTTATGGGAATGCCCCGGGTGCTGTGATGTCGGTTCTTGAATCAAATCAAATCATTTACACCAAAAAAAGATCTGTGTGGATTCCAAAAACCCCAATTTGGAAGAAAGATAAAATAATAGACTCGTTGCCTCTTAAAAAAGTGTCAGAAAAGGAAATTATTTGTTGAGTTAAGTTAAAAAAAAAATGTGTCAAGCTAAAAGGTGCAGATATTAAAACCTAGCAGTAAATGATAATACAATGTGTCAACTATCTTTAAGGGCATGCACAGAAAAAGATACAGAAGCCCATTTGCAGAGTAGGTATATACAATTTTTTGACAAGAATAAACAACTTATTCTCCATGTGTGGGTTCTCAGGCCCTATTGTGGGGAAACAAGAATAGACCCACAGTCTACCCCAAAACAAACACAAACATGTCAGAGGAGTCGATTAACTGGGAGCTTCCTTTAAAATCGGGGTGCATCTGCCTGAGAGGCAAGGAACTAGCAGTCTGCATAGATCATATAAGCCAGATCTATCTGATAAACAGATGTGCAGCAACACTCAAATTCTGGAACAAGACTAAAGACCACAGGTGGGTGAATAATCATAACTTTTACAAGTGAGAAGAGGATGAAGAGAAACTTATACAAAAAGTGCTACCTCTTTTTTCTTCAGTCCAGGTGGTGCATCATACATGAAACTGAGGCCAAGTTTAGCTTTAACATCGCCAATTAGAGCCCTGGGGGAAAATATAAAAATAAGGTAAAATTAGGCAATAAAGTTATTCTTACAAAACCACAAAAGGCACACTAAAAAAAACAAACACAGAATTGTAGTCTGTAGGGTTAACATCTCGTGGATGAGAAACAGACAGCAGCAAATCACAGAAACGCTGTTCAACAATAAAATGCTTACATTTGTGCCCCGTACGGTAAGGAATAAGTCCCAATCCAGCGTGGGTGGGTAATAGGTAGGCGCTTACACTGTGTAACTCCTCCTTAGTTTACCAGTTGTAAGCTCCCGCGGAAAGTCCTGGTTGTTAGTCAATTTGGACTGTGGCTTTGTGCCAGGGTTTTGCATGTTCATCCATTTTACTGGTTTCCTTGTGTGCAGTTAGTTGGACTTCAAGGGAAGTCCCCAATTAGTTGACCAGTATGGCATGCTTATTGGGGAGGCAAGTGAGTCTGTTCTTGTCTTGTCCTCTGAAACCATACAGGGAACATTCGTGTAACAAAGACCTCACAAAACTGTTTGTAGCACTTATTATTTCCTATCTTAACTGCTCCTGTCATATATAAACAGCCAATGTTCTTCCTTTTACAACTTGGTTTCTTTCCCTTCTGATTTCCCTGGTTTTCACTTCTGTGTGGATGCTAACACAGAAATCTCTAGCTATGTTTCATTTTCTTTATGTTAATTTCTGCTGGCTGTTAATGAAATAAATCTTTCTGAGAACATGTCGCTGCAGAAATGGTGATATATCAACAGTTACAGGGCTGTCACAACCAGAAGTGACTAGATTTAGCCTTTTTGTGCAATGGAGCTAATGCTGACTTTTAAAATCTCAGCCAGGATTATAAAAATTCAAGACCTGGGGCTCAAAATTTTGCTCAAATGGATAGGCACTCCTGAATACTAAACATGTGCTGCAGACATGCTCTGTACAGGCAGTGAGGAGAAGATACCATGTCTGGCCAGTTAGCATTCCAGGTGATACCAACTTCTATGGATCAGTGGGTAGAATATGCACCAAACCATAGCCTTAAAGGGGCACGTGGCCTTATCATCTGAAAACCACTGGCAGGACGAATGCACAGAAGGTGGCAGAATTATAATATTCCTCATTTTCCCTTCATCTGCTAATGTAAGGTGACAGTAGTGGGAAAACGAACAATGGGCCAGGTTTACATACTGAATTTTCTACAAAAAATCTACAGGACAATTATGACTGCAGTCATAACTAGACCGTAAGCACAGTAAGTCAAACAAAAGCATTATGCAAGAAGACATAGGAATTGGTGCCGTAGGCCACGTGCCGAGGGATTCACCGATAAGGAGATGCAAGCACTTATGGACTGATTGTTTTGATGTGCAGTAAGAACGATCTAGCTACTATCTATGGCATCTTCAAAGACACCCACAATTTTCTTAATCAAACATTACACACAAAACATCTCAAGAAAGATTTACCTGTTGCTAAGAACCTCTTGCTCTTTCTCATACTGTGCTAGTAAGTCTTCCTGCTTCTTTTTATCAAAGGCTGTTTTCTGTTCTGCCATCCATTTCTGTATTTGGAAGGGAAAAAATATAATCACACTAGCCTGGTATAAAAATGTCACAATCAATCAAAGCTGACAACATTTTCATTAACCATAATATTCGCTTCACACATGATCCTGGGGTTGTGGATCAAATATCAAGCCTTCTCTCAGACAATGAAGAAAAACAACTCCCAGGACCTGTACATTTAAAAACATTTGATTACTTAGCCATTGTAAATGAAGCATCCATTCACTGTGACGATATGGCTTCCAGGTTTAATAGGCAAAGTTGAAATAACTTGAAGAGGTAACTAAGCTAGGGTTGGCTTCAACCTGAAAAGCTTAAAGCCCCAAAAATGAATCATGAACTAGAAAAAAGGCCTCAATATCAGTATGGTATATACCAGAGCTATTCAACTGGCAGCCCGAAGGCCAAATCTGGCCCGCCAAGGCCTAGCAAGTGGCCCGTGGATCACTGCATGTTGTATGGCATTTATGGTCTTTCTATGCTGGGGCTTCTGGCCTGTGACGATCTCCATTTTTAGACATTTTGGCCCCTGAGTCAACTTAGTTGAATAGCCCTGGTACATACATGGAACCTCAAGATACAAGCGTGCCTCGATATGGAGTTTTTCTTGATACAAGGTCAGGCTCGCCAATTTTTTTTTCATGATAACACTTTAATGTCAAGTTTACATTGCCTAAGGAAGACTTCAGTGAGTCCACAAGGCACTTGATGATGATAAACTGTAACATTGGGGTCAGAAATAACCACTATTCCTCAGTGCTAACTAAAACAAAAAAGCACTGCCACACATTTTTCCTTGTTAAAGAAATGAAAAACATCATTTTGAAACAAAGTTTTTTAAGGGCTGAAATGAATTACAATTTTAATGTAAAAACTAGTTTCCGGATACAAATTATTATTCATCATACGAACTCAGTCAGGGAAGAGAGTAAATTCGCATTGTGGGGTTTCAAAATGAAATATATCCAGTTGTAAGAGGCAAATTGTAGAGTAAGGCAATCTGTATACTTATTTCAATCATCTGAATATTCTGCTCGTTCACTGAGGTGTTTTTGTCTCAATAACTGCCTAATCCTGCAAGGCGATCAGTAAGTTGCACTGATAATTCCACTATTCCATTAATTGCACAGCTCAAAGAACACACAATTAATGCACACATACATTAATTATCTCAATTTTTCTTAAAGGTATCTTAATGATGCAAAACATCATGTTGTAATTTTAAGTCCATGTACTTTTGAATTTCTCTTAGCTGGCTGCACTATCCAGTGTGTTTTTGTTTGCTTTTAATCATTAGTAATAGTAAGTGAATTAGAATTTCATTAGAAAAACACTATACATTTTGAGACTATTATAAGTAGTAATAGTACTTTTAATGAAAATTCTGCACATCGCTTAAAGAGGCCATGCCTGATGATGATTTTCAAAAAGAAACTGTTTGTATAATGAATTATAAAGAGTTATATAACTTTCGGGGACTGGAAGTGGACAACATTATTTGCAATTTAAATGTTTTATCTTAATTAAAATTTACATTTAATTATTTGAATTATAATTATCAATTAATTCTCAACAAATGACGATAATGATTATAAAAAACAGGCTCTCCTTCAAACTTCTACCCCATATTATGGTGGCCAAACAAATACCCTAACAGGGCCTCAGATC